CCCCCCCCCCCCCCCCCCCCGTTTCCAAGGCAAGACAGAGGAAGCCACCAGCCAGGACCTTTCTTTTCCCTCTGGAGAAGAGATTGTTCAAGACGTGGGACTAGAAGGTGTGAGAGTTTTGTACCAGTCTGGTTAACCCAGTGCCCAGATCCAGAAACTGGCAGTCATTTCTTCTAAGTCTTGTTGCACATCCTTTCTGCGTTACAAGCTAGAATATATCCCAGAGGGCACAGCTTTAGTGTTGAGTCTCTCTCAAGTCTCGGTCCTTTGGAGCTTAGGGGAGCAGCTAAGGAAATTATGCTTCAGGCCCCAAGCTAGGGCAGAAATGAGGGCAGGATACAACAGACTCCAGTCCCTGATGCCACCAGATCTTGTCTACCGGGTACTCTTCTCGGAGTGACACGTTATAGAGAAGGGAGGACGCCACAAGAGGTGCAGGGTTGAACTAATGCCGATACCTGGCCTTGGGCCACACTAGATCCCCGGTTCCAGGGTACAGAGGGGCTCACCCAACACACCGGTTAATTCCGACGGCCTCTCCTCTTCCCAGAGGCCCTCTGTTCCAGCTGGCAAGCCTCAGGGTCACTCGCTCTGTAGTTCACCACCCGTAAAGTCTCCCACGTGACCCACGATCTACCGGGCACCCGGGACCCATAAGCCTTGAAGTTGCTTTCTGGCTTATTATAGACTCCTGATTGGTTTCCTGTTTGTGAAACTCCTCGGCCCTCCATTCTTAGCCGGGTGATGCTTGCGGGGAGGCCTTGTATCGTACTGCAGAGCGAGATTTGGGATCCCCGAAAACAAAAGCAAAGAGAAACAGGGGTGGTTCTTCCAGGGCGGGATTGGAGGACTGCCGTTCCCACGCGAAGGTGGCCCTGGACGCGGAGTCGCCACTTCCCGGCCTCTCCTCGCCCCGCCCCGCCCCGCCCCGCGGGGACCCAGTCCTCCTCACCCCATAGGCAGAGCGACCCTCCCGCCTCCTCGCCGTTTTCTTCTTCTTTAGCCCCCGCCTTTTCACTTTCAAAGTTTATTCCGGGCCGGGACCTGCGGCGGAAGAGAGCCATGACTGTCTACCTCGGGATGCTGCTCCTCGGGAGGCTGTATATCGCGAGCCTGGGGGCGCAGGGGGCCCGGACGCTGTTCTCTCGGCCTTGGCAGAACTCGAAATGGCACTGTGTCCGCCCTCTCAGGTACCCCGAGCAGCTCCCCGAAAAGAGAGGGGGCTGGGCGGTCCCGAGGAGGAGGGAACTTGGGAGTTCTGCAGAGCTTGGCAGGGATTGACCCCACTCTGGGTGGCCCTTACTTACACTACCCTACCACCTAGGCAAAGGGAATAGTGGGCCCGGCTGGGGTCTGGGACTGCTGCTGATAACTGCAGTAGTCCTAGACTAAGTTCAAATTCTAAATCAGGATTCTGTATGCGTCCCGTATAGCACACAAAGCCAGGACTTTTAATAGTACACCCAAGGAACATGCTGAGAGCTGCCAGGACACTCTTAGCTGTATCCGCTTCAGTGAAAAACTTGGGACTGTTTAGGAGGGCACTGAGTATAGCAGTGCCTTCTTTTCTCTGTTTTCTTTTCTTTCTTTTTTCTTTTTCAAGACAAGGTTTCTGTGTGTAGCCCTGGCTATCCTGGAACCCTCTCTGTAGACCAGGCTGGCCTCGAATTCACAGCGATCCGCCTGCCTCTTCTGCCCGGCTTCTTCCCTCTGTTTTTAATCATTGCCACATACTTCTGGGTCTGTTTTCATCAGTCCTCTATGCAAGTGCCGGGAAGGGGGTTGGCAGGAGAGGGCTGATTGAATAAAGCTAATGTGGCCAGGCACTTCAGGGACAGATTGCCGTGGGAAAAGCCAAGGTTGGGAGAGCTGCCTGTGCCAAAAGGTTTAGTGGTGGTTCTTCAGCATCCAGCAGGGGTAAGGCCTGCACATACCTGAACATGCTCTGACACACAATTTGGCCAGCTAGCAAGCCTGTTGTCCATACTATTCCGACTCTGGGTGTGGGCAGGAGAAGTGGAGACTCAGTCAAGAGAGGGATATATCTCTGCAAAATAGGTTTAAAAGACACTACTAAGGCCATGAGGCAGAGGCAGGCAGATCTCTGAGTTTGAGGCCAGCCTGGTCTACAGAGCTAGTTCCAGAACCACCAGGGCTACTACACAAAGAAGCCTTGTCTCCAACTCCCTGCCCCCAATAAAAGAGAGATTCCTGAGAAGGAGTTGGACAGATAAGTTGGAAGATGCCTTTTTGACAGGAACTTTCAGATTACGACCTTCTGAAAACTAAGAAGCAAGCAGTGGGGTGTGTGTGTGTGTGTGTGTGTGTGTGTGTGTGTGTGAGAGAGAGAGAGAGAGAGAGAGAGAGAGAGAGAGAGAGAGAGAGATATGCATGCTAAATAGGCACTCTCGCACTATTTAGCCCAACCCCTGTGAAACCCTTTAACATCTCTCTGCCTCATTTCCTCAGGAGACCTAGGGGATTTTTACAGCTGGGTAGTGAAATGGGGCCCACTGGAGGGATGGTTCTCCCACCTCTCCTCTCTATTGTCTCCCTAGGCTAACTTGACCCTTCCCCGTCCCTAGTTGACCTGTCTTACCTTTGAACTCCTGAGTATCCCTGCAAGCTGTGAGGACTCTGAAAAGTGACTCCCCAAAGTACATATAGTTGTTGCTACTAAATCAGATCCAGTGTTACATAACTGCGCTTTGATGTGTGTGTGTGTGTGTGTGTGTGTGTGTGTGGTTCATGTGGACGTGTATGTACATACCGGTGCACATGTGTGTTCAAAGTGCAGGCAAAGGCGACTGCTCATTGCCGGGTGCTCTCCTCTCTCTACCTCACTGTTTCGAGCTTAGGGTCTTTGACTGAGCCTGGAGCTCTCTGATTTGGCGAGGCTGGCTAGCCAATGCCTTCTAGGGCTCTTTCCTTCTCTGTCCCCCTCTGCCTAGCACTGAGAGGTTACCGATGACTGAGCCACTGTGCCCAGCTTTTGTGCGAGTGCAGGCGATCCGAACTCAGTTCCTTCTGCCTACACAGCTTACACTTTGCTGACTGAACCATTTCCATAGTCCCAACATTCCTGACCGCTGACATTTTCCTGTGTAAACAAAGCAGGTCACTTACTTGCCTCAGGCCTGTGACCTCTGAGGCTTTCTGTGACAGGACTCAGAGAAACTGTGTCCAGAAGAGACCTATTTATCCAAGAGAAGGGGAAAAAAAAGATTTTCTGCGCATTGGTTCCAATTTCTTCCCCTTCCTCTCATATCATCCTTCTTTGCTCTCTGTGGGCACTTTTGTGTGGTTTGTCCCCTATTCTCCCCTGCAGAAGCCTCCCCTCAGCCATCTCAAATATTCAGCCCACATCTCTCTCGGGGCATTGCGTCCCTGTGCCTAGCACCCCGGCCACAGCACTCAGACTGGAACAACTGGTGCTGGGACGAAGGGAACCAAAGGGGAGCGACAGTTCGATGGTGTTCCAGGCATGATGGTGTGTGTGGGAAACTGTTGTTCCCTCCCTCTCTCTCTGATGAGGTTAGAGGCAGGCTTTGCTGCTACCCAGCACACCAGGTCACTCACCCCAGGTCCTTATTTGGCTTGTGTTTGTGTTTTGGGGGCAGGGTCTTAGTGTTTAACCCAGGCTGACCTGCTACTTGAAGCCATCAATCTTCCTGCCTCAGCCTTGGGAGGCCTGTGTCATCATGCCCCGGTCAGGTTGCTGGTTTTGCTGAACAGGAAAGAACAAGAATTTGAAGCAAGCTTGTCTTGGCTGCTCTACATGGATACAGCTGGATCCTCTACCCAGGCACGTGCTACCTAAGTAACATGTTACTTAGGGTGGTTAGTTTGTTGCTAATGAATGCTTACCTGCAGGCTGGCTGTGGGTGGAACCGCAGAAGCTTGCAGTTACTTTCTGCCTTTCCTTTGAGGTGCAGCTGACCCTGGATAGCTAAGATTTAGACTCGATTGGACCTTTGCAGTCCCATCAAAAGGCAGGAGTATTGAACCAGCCCCCATCCCTGACCCCAACCCTGACTGACCCTTGACAGCTGGGGCTCTGCACAGTGGCCTCAAGGGGAAAGTCTGCAGCATGGAAGCCTGAACCTTAAGTGATTCAGGCTTTGGAAATGTCTCCCATCATCTCTTTTCTTCCTTCTCCCTCCCTCCCTCCTTCCCTCCCTCCCTCCCCCCTCTCCCATCATCTCTTTTCTTCCTTCTCCCTCCCTCCCTCCTTCCCTCCCTCCCTCCCCCCTCCCTTCCTTCTTTTTATTGGCAGTAACAGGAATCAAACACAGAATCTTGTACATGTTATGCAAATGGCATCCTCTGTCCACTTATTTTTTAGGGAGAGTTTGTTATCTTCAAATAACAATTGTCCATATACTTTCCCTTTGTACCCATAAACGCACTTCTACCAGCCGTTTCATTCAGGATGCTGAAAGTGAGTGTTCCACCAATCGAGTACTGTGTTCTAAGTCTTTATTGCAGCTCTGACTCCTATGGAGTTCTTTGTAGGTTGTAGGTTCCTTTAAGGGAGGTTATATTGAGAGATCATAGGACTTTATGGTATAATTACATATGGTAAATTGCATAGATCTTAAATGTACTGCTCAGTGAATTTTAATGGTTTGTTTTCTATTGCTATAACTGAACGTCAGAGAACAGAGCAATTTGTAAGCCTCCCTTCAGAGGTTCATTTAGCTCAGAGTTCTGAAGGATCATGGGAGTCCAAGAACCTGGTGCCACTAGCATCTGCTTGGCACTGGTGAGGGCCATCCTGCTGGGTCATGACATGGCCCAGGGCATCACGTGGTGAGACCCTGAACACATGCCAGGGAGAGTCCTTTCAAATAAAGCTACACTCCCTCTATAACCCATTAATCCACAAAAGCAGGACTCCATTTTCAAGTGCAGAGGCTTCATGATCCAAAGGTTACATCCTCTCTCTCTCTCTCTCTCTCTCTCTCTCTCTCTCTCTCTCTCTCTCTCTCTCT